GTATCAAGTTTGTTCCTTAGATCACTCCTAAGTCGCCGAAGCAAGAATTTAGCTTACTACTTACATTCTTTGGTGGCTTTGGAAATCAAGGAACTTATGGATCTTCCAACACTCTCTCATCCGGAGCACTCTATGCTCAGGATTGCGCATTCTGACTGGTTGGACTTCTCCAATGCTTCTTCTTGCTAGTTTTTGCTGGTTTTTGTTGTTTTTGAGGGAAGCCCTCTTCGATAGGCTTTGTAGCAGTGGCGAGAGTCTTCGCTTTGTTTGTTTGTTCTTGTTTCGATTTGTTGTTGGTTTTTCTGTTTTGTTGAGGTTTTAGACCGCGTGTTGCGTGTCTCTCAGTTTTTTTTTTCGGTTTAGATTTTTCCTTTGTATTCGAACTCGGTTCGCTTGAGATTTATATAGTTGTTTCTGTCGTTTCGGAAAAAAAAATAAAAATATGCTACATTTTTTTTCAACATAATAGATATCTTCATTTAACAACTTTATTTATAATAGAAAACATATGTGGTAAATTATTGGACGAACAAGGATCAACATAAGAATATATTATACATTGAAGTTTCTCTTAAACATTAGTTAATGTTTCTTAAATATTAGTTAATGTTTTAGTAAATCCGTAGTATTTTAGTAAATACTTCATACATGTTTTAGTAAATAATATAATCTTTATAAAAATATTTTTTTACTATTTATATTTTATTAATAACATAATGATAATAATTTAATAATTAAATATTTTTAAGACAATAAATCTAATTACAATACATTTGTAATATTAAAATAACTTATATAATGAGAATAAAAAAAATAAAATTTGGTGGTTCTAGGTTTTCATCCAGAAATTTAGAGTATGTAGCAATTACTTATAGCCCCAAAATCCCATCTCACGTGACCTAAATCGCCTAAGCTTCTGCCTTCCTCAGCAGCGCTGAGCTTCGCCGGCGGTCGGCCCCTAGCCGACTGGCCCCTGGCCGCTTAGCCCCAACCTCGATGTCCTCTCCTCCTTCTCTACTGGCTCCGTTGGTCGCGATTTTTCGGAAGTTAAATCGCATCCTTGTGCGATTCCCGACTCTGGTCTCAAAACGACGCTTCGATCGGTGCCTATGTGTTGTGGGGTGGGTTGTGATGTGGTGGGTTTGGGCTGGGTTTGGTTCGGGTGGTTCTTGACCTCTGTCCCGGAGGTGCTGGGACTTCGCTGCGGTTCCTTTCTCCTCTTCTTTCGTCCAGTGGTGTTGGACGGAATGGGTGGTGGTGGGCGAGGGACTGCTGCGGTTCCAATCGGTTTGGGGGCCTCGCCCTGATGTCTGTCTGCTTTCCTCTTTGCTCTGGCTCTGAGAGTGGGGGGTTAACCGGGTGCTGTCGGGGCTCTCTAGTGGTGTTAAAGGTTCGGTCCAGTGACGGTTCTTTGGCAGTTCGGATATTGTGGTTACGGTTTGAGTCCGGCTTTGGGTGATTTTCGGTGCTCGGATTTCGACTTCGCTAGGCCACCGTGTTGGTGTTGGGCAGTTTCGGAGTTGATCCTCTTAGCTGTGGAATTCGCTTTGGTCGGCTCGGTTCCGCTGACTTAGTTTGGTCTTGCTACTTGGGAAGGGCTTGATTTGTTTTTTTTGTTTAGTTTTCTTAGTTTGTAGTTGTGCGTGTTTAGTTCTTGTTGCGGCTACCGCTTCTCCCTCAACGTGGATGATTTTCGGAGTTCAAATCTGAACCTTGAGCAGTCTCTTCTCCAGATCCGTCTAGGCGGCACGTGTGGCCGCAGTTTTCGGGCTTGAGGTTTCGGCTTGTGGCTGCGTGGGATCTCGTTGATTGTGGTGTGGATCGCCTTTTGTTTTTTTTTTTGTGTGTGTTTTATGTTTTATCGTTTGTTTTTGTTGGTGTGTTAGTGCAGCTTTGTCTGCCTTTAGTGCAGCTGTGTCTGCTTTTAGTGCAGCTTTGTCTGCTTTCAGTGCAGCTTGTCTGCTTTGCTTTTTGTAGTTTTGTTTTTTGGTAGTTTATCTCCTAGATGGAGTTTGTACCCATTGCATGTGATGACAAGGGGTAGTCCAGTTTTCTAGTTCCAGTGTGTCATTTGACACTTCGGTTGTACTCTTTTGAGTTTTTAATTTATTTATATAATTGCCGTTTGGAAAAAAATAATAATAAAAAAAATAAAAATAAATAAGAAATTACTTATATGTTAAATGAAACAGTCAAATCTGAAATTAACTGCACCCAATTACAAAAAGGCCAAAACTAATTAAATTGTATGAGGAAGACCAAAATTGAACATACCGAACATAATTACTAGTGCAGAACCCGTGCGATGCACGAGGCTGAGTCATTTTTGAAGAATTTTGGAGGATAATATAATATAAGATGACATGTATTAGGATCGAAATAATTATTTGGCAACAACCACTATAATCTGGTATTCCTCTAACTTTTTGAGTTTTTTTCTTCTCAGCTACCCAAAAAAGTGCTCCACAATATTGGCAATTCAATATAGCATCCCCATATCCCAATATTCTGCAAAACATTATAAAAGGAATTTAGTCAATCAACCGCAACGTGATTGAATAATATATATAAATTATATATATATAAGTAAATATAATAAAGAAAAAACAACCTTTATTTTTTGAAGTTGATCCATGATTTTTCTTAGGACGACCACATTTTGGTAAAAATGAAGTCTGTTGAACTTCCTCTCTATGCGTAAGATCAACAACAACATTTGTACTCGTACTACGTAGAGAACTTGTATCATTCCGCTTTGTCGTGGCTCGTGATGGGTAGCTCGCGGCCTAAAACATATTTATTCATGTTATAATGATTTTGTCACAATAAAATAAAATTACTATGAAAAAAAAATAAAAATAATAAATTATAATCATTACATGGATGTAGAGCACCATGTGTATAATTATAAAATGAATTTAGTCAATCAACCGCAACGTGATTGAATTATATATATAAATTATATATATAAAAGTAAATATAGTAAAGAAAAAACAACCTTTGTTTCTTGAAGTTGATCCATGATTTTTCTTAGGACGACCACGTTTTGGTAAAAATGAAGTCTGTTGAACTTCCTCTCTATGCTTAAGATCAACAACAACATTTGTGCTCGTACTACGTACAATACTTGTATCATTTCGTTTTGCCGTGGCTCGTGATGGTAGCTCGCGGCCTAAAACATATTTATTCATGTTATAATGATTTTGTCACAATAAAATAAAATTAGTATGAAAAACAAAAATAATAATAATAAATTATAATCATTACATGGATGTAAAGCACCATGTGTATAATTAATACCTCTTGACTGCTGAAAAGTTGTTTGAGGAATAATACTTAATTCAAGTTCGTCATCGCTGGTGAGATCAATTATCATTGTTTCTCCTTTACCACTCGTTTTTGCAGAAACTTTGGGGTTATGTTGAGAAGTCAAATTCGAACTCGAACAATAGGACGATCGTATAGTATCTGTAAGTTGAATTGAAAAAAAATTATTAATTGAAGCAAAATCGTTTGTTAGATATAATATTCGTACATGGAATTTAAAAAAACTTACTCCAAATGTTGGAATAGAAATTTGTCAACGACGTACGTGACTCGATAGTTCCTACAATAAAAAAATTGGACAATAGAGTGATGAAAAAATATTACAATCAGTTAATGTTTAAGCGAAATATATTGTGTAAAATAAATAATAAATTATTTACCATTGGTGATATCAGATAAATGCATCCTTTGTGAAGTCAACTGGATATTACTGGCATTTTGACGTTTATTTTGTGAATCACGCAACGCCGTAGAATGATGATACGTTCTCTTTTCTGACAAAATAAAAAGTCAAATAAGATTTATGTACATTTACCCATTTCATCACGCGTGTAATACTCATAAAAACAATCTTCCAATCGTGTGGGGTTGCCCTTTCCCGCCAATTATTGGGTTTCAATCCATAGTTGGCGATACAATACACGTCGCCTTCTTTAAAGATATGTAGGAATAAGCTTAACTGTTTGTAACGTATCAATCCACTTATTTGTGCACCCTACAATATGAATTCGAAAAAAGTAAATTCATTAAATTCACAAGAGTGTAATTTATACATATAGGATAGAAAAAAGTACCTCTTGATCTTCAAATATGACTGCACAGAAGTTCTTTGTCTCCACTTCGTAATCGGTATCAACAATTAGAACTGTTTTTAATTTCAAAAAAGGCCTGTTCACCCTAGTAACCGCGTGGAGGCTGTCAAACACTCGTCGCATTTTTTTTCTTTATTTTAATCACGTGTATTTATGTGTTTTTGCAGGATGATTTCCAAAGAGAATTGAAGAAGCAATTGTAAAGGAATGCACTCTTTTATATAGGGGGCTAGAATATTTTTTGTAATACTGTATTATTTTATTTAACAAATCTTATCTCTTCCCAACCAAAAAACGAAACGCGTGTAAAATAAAAAAGCTGAAAATCGGGATTTTAAAAACGGCAAAAATCTACCCTGAATTAAGGAATGATTTACGGGTTTAATATTGAGATAAATAAATCCCAAACAAATCTCATCCAATAATTAAGGAAATGATATCTATCTATAATCTACCTATAAAGAAAAACTGCACTGATGGTCCAATAAATCAGCTATTTTAAAAATGCCGTTCATTCTTAGAATTTGGCGCTAGAATTAAATAATGACACGTTTTGCGGCAAAAATCTGGCGGGAAATTAAAAAATGTTATTCTTTTAATATATAGATAGATTTCATAAAAAACACAGAATTCAGTTCATAAATAATAAAGACTCTCTCTTTGATCCACTCTACAAATCAATTCCTCACTCCCTCTTTCAATTTCCCAAATTAAATAAAAAAAAATACCCAAAATAATAATATTTTTTTTTGGTACAACCAAAATAATAATATTAGCTAGTGAGCTACTAGCAAACCCTCCAAATCAAGTACAAAAAAAAA